ATGAGAAGATGACACATAATAATAATAATAATAATAATAATAATAATAATAATAATAATAATAATAATAATAATAATAATAATAATAATAATAATAATTATGGGTTATATAGAAAGCAAATGAGAAGATGACACAAAAAAAGCCCTCGTTGGACACTTGATTGATAGAACTATAACCTTGATGTGAGACAAGTAGCTTAGTTTAATCCTAAATGTTGAAGCAATCAAAATAAGGAGAGTCTCTATTTGTTGATATGTGAACTTGTAATGGTAAAATCTATCCAAACTAAGAGAGGGTAAGGATTAGAATTGTTTAAACTCCTAACCTTAGAATACACCCTGGAGAAATTGTGTGAAAAGAATACATTTGGGGATTGTGTATCTCTCGAGTGACGTAAGGATAAATTTGACCACTATGGGTCTGGAATAAACTAATCATAAGCTTGATATGTTGGCATGAGTTCACACACACACGTTGAGTATTGCATTTGATGAGTAAATATTGATTCAATTCTCGCACTCTTGATATTGTTTCTATTATTATTACTAAGTCCGATCCTGAGACATGGCAAGCTATTAAGTCATGTTTGTTTAGTATTAAGTCACTACATTGTTTGATGATAAACAATAGTTTAAGTTTGGGGGATTTGATAAGTGTGTTTTTACACACTTATTTAGCTCACAAACATGACTTAAACATGGACAAAGTAGTTGAATTATGACTTAATCTTGTTAAATTCATGCTATGTAGGTGTTTCTATGGAAAATATGGAATTCAGAAGAAAAGAACCGAAAAAGGACCAAAACGGAACAAAGCGATAGTTCGAGGACCAAGTTGCAAATAATCCATAGATGAGACGGGAAATGGAATGAAGATTCAAGAGTGTTAGAGGTCAATCGGATGAGGAAAGGAGTCAAGAGGTGAAATATGGTCGACGTATTATCAAGTATCAGCTTTCAGGCGAAAAAGTTATGCTCGTGATTTTGAGTCTCTACTTGAAATCCATTTTTGGCATAGTAAACATCAGAATTTGAGGAAGCCTGTTTCTATCAAAAGTGTACATCTTTGAGTTTTATTCCCAATTCACTTTGAATCACTTC